TACCGAGCCTTAGAGCCCAAGAAGCCGAAAGGTCCCCCTAGAGACATCATTATAAAGTTCACCTCCTATCGCATAAAGGAGACACTTCTGCGGGCAGCTCGAGACCATCAAGATCTCTTCTTCCAGGGTCACCCATACCAACTCTTTGAGGACCTGGCAACCTCCACCATCCAGAGGCGGTGCCAGATGAAACTCTACACCTCAGCCCTTCTGAAGCCCTACACCTCAGCCATTCTGAATCAACACATTAAATACCAATGGGGCTTTCCGTTTAAGCTCACCTTCACCCACCAGGGCTGGAGCCACACCGTCTACAATCCAAAGTCAACCTTGGAAGTACTGCGCTTTCTGTCCCCAGGGACACTACCTGCAGCCCCGCACAATACCCCAGTCTCCTTCCAACCAACTGGGTCGCATATGGGAAAAAGTTGGAAGCTGAAAATGCTCCCTCCCTCACAATCAGGATCCTTGCACTATGATCCAGGCTGAATCATGAGATATGGGTAAACCTTGTTTCCTTCTGCTATACGGCTTGACCAGCTAGTCAAGAACCCCTTTGACCTCACCAACATGGTGGTCTTGACTGCCCTTTGTTGGACGCCATGTCCTTTTATTTGTTAATCTTCTCATCTCTGACTGGAGCTCTGCCCTGGCTGATAGGCATGACGGCGTTTGACATCTCCCACAGAGGAGTCACTCTCTGCATAGTGGATGGATCATTATGGTTTGAGGACTTGAACTGTTCCTCACCTTAAAAAAGGTGGACTGTCCCTCCTTTGTGCCTTCAGAGATTCTCCCCTCCCTTGTAACTACCACACACCATGTTCAGACCCTGGTAACCAAGAAGATGCATTATATGCACGGATTTATTTCTCTGCTGCTATGGTGATGTTAAGGGATCATGCCCCCTTTTTTTATGTTAAATGTGTGATGTTTATATGTTTGATGTTCATGATTGGCCTGTCCAAACCCCCCCCCCCCCACCCAGCCGACCGGTGAAGCTGGTTGTTCTTCTGGTTGGACAGGTCTGTAACTCAAGGTGGGCCTCTCCTTTTTGATAAGGTGGCAGAAGCCTTTAATCATAATTTACAGGTTACCATTATGTAGGGCTTATTCTACAGCCCACGCCACTCAGTTACTGTAATATTTAATGTCTTTTGATTGTGTTTTTTCCTGCCCACTGACCCTTCACCCCCCTTCCTCTTCTCCCCTTCTCCACCCACGTAACCCCCCCCCCCCCCGGCATCCTGGAGAGCGGCCCATCCTCTCTCCTTGATACTTTACTGTTCCCTATAGCGCAGCCATTTGTTTGCTGGTTGGGCTACCCCCCATGTGTATCCTACCTGTTGGAATGCATATTCCACATGTTGTGGTTTTGTTGCACTTTGTGCTTAAGCACTATTCTTCTCTTCTAACCTCTCTTTCCTTCTGCTCTTTTTCTTCCCTTTCTTCATAACTTTTGATGCCCGGACCCATCTGCTCACCTGCTTATTGCTTACTTACTGCAGCCCACACCCTTAAGTTCAGCACTTTCAAAACATTTATGCTTTTATTCCCCTGCTAAACGAACTAAAGTGTGTCATCTTCTTAAATCTCAAGTGGACATAGTATGCTTGCAGGAGACAAGGTTTTCTCAGTTCTCCACCCACAGATATCTTTCCCCTCACTACCCGACCTTTTTCTCTGCATCCACTCCTGAGAAACAGGACACCATATCTGAGTGTTGATTGCTTTCAGGCGTAATGTACTTTTTACTTACTCCTGAGAAATTGCTGACCCCACAGGTAGATACTTACATTTGCAGGGTACCGGATATTATGCTCCAAATAGGTTCAACACAGATTTTTCTCTCATTTACAACAGGCTGTCTCACAAAATCAGAAAGGTATTCTTCTTCTCATAGGAGACAGAAGAAATGAGCGTGATATTTCAGACAGGTGCTACCTGAGTGGGGTAACTCCCCCCTTTGACACCATATCTGTAACGACTATGTACTCTCTTCTACAGAGCTCTGTATTCATGGGATTATACCTTTCATTCGCACCCCCGCACCACAGTTTATGTAGACGTGATCATATCTTTATTAATCTCCGACACCTTCCACTGGTGGACAAGATTTTCATCTCAGCTTCTATCTGGTTGATTCAGGACCCCCCTGGTTCTGATAGTGAACCTGGTGGATCTCCCTCGACCTACTTATCATAGGAGTCTGAATGAATCCCTGCTTACCACCGAAGCTTCCCATCTCCAGATACAATCCCATATCCAGTCTTATTTCTCAGACAATTTGGGTTCAGTGACCTATTCCTATGGGAGGCTCATAAGGCCACTATTAGGGTTCATTTGATCCAAATTGCTTTGTACCGAAAGTGGGCTAGGGAAAAGGAGGATGTGAGAATTGACCTCTCTTCTGGTTCAGGAAAACAAAGCCTGGAAGGCACGACCCACCATAGCCAACCATAAGGTACGTGATACTCTAGCCACTGAACTTAACCTCCTTGCTACTGAGTGGGCTGAAAAGGCCCTGCGCCAGACCAGGCATAAAATTTTACACGAATAGTAACAAACCTGGATCGATTCTAGCCAGGAAGCTCAATTCAGTGGGCAGCACACAAAAGCCCATCCAGCTAAACAACAGGGGTCAAGATGACAATCCTGCCCAAAGTCCTCTATTTCATCTGGACCCTGGCAGCACACATTTCTTCCATGTTAAATGGCACCTCTGACATCCCATTGTGGGTGTTCCAAGAATGACCTAATTGTGCTCCGATTTCTCTGCAAGCGCTGCTCTGGCTACCCCACACTAAACCCTCTTACGCTCCATTGCCTGAAACTGTGGGATTCAGTGCGATATTCAGGAAATCTAATGTCCCCTTTTCTGCCTCTTCTACCAATCATCAATAATCCTCTGTTCTTGCCAAGATTGGAACAACCAAGGGCATTCCCCTGGTGGACCTCTCATGGCTTCACAAGGGTACATCATTTCTTAACCATGCGTTCATTCCCACTGTGGGAGGCCCTTCAGGAGACACACGAGATTTCTAGGCAAGAGTACTTCCATTTTCTGCAATTGCATTTTCTACAATCTTGTCCCTCCGGCATACCTCCACCTACCCCTTTCATAAGACATCTTTTAAGCACACCTGTCAACATTGCCCAGGGTCCCCTGGCCTTATTTATTCACTTTACGCCTCTCTTAATTGTAGATCGGTGGTACTGTGTCCCGGCTAGAATTGCCCATGCTTTTCCTGGCAGCAGTGATGGAAGTTATAGGGGGTGTGGTCAGTGTGGGAATGTTCTGCATACATGGTGGTCATGCCTACATCTGATTGGTTTCTGGTCCAGGGTCTTTGGCCTACTGCAGACAATATTCCATGTGACTATCTGTAAGGATGCCCAGCTGGCCCTTTTACATTGCCCCATAACGGGCCTTTTCGCATCTCAGTAACCGTTCACTAACCGTTCTGTATCTGCCATCCCTCTCTGCCAATCCCTCCACTGGCTTCCCGTTGCCCAACGGATAAAATTCAAAACACTAACAATAACGTATAAAGCCATTTATAACTCTGCCCCAAATTACATCACCGATCTTGTCTCTAAATATCACCCAAACCATACTCTCTGCTCCTTGCAGGACCTCCTACTCTCTAGCTCCCTTGTCTCCTCCTCCCATGCTCGTCTCCAGGACTTCTCCAGAGCTGCCCCCATCTATCAGACTATCGCCTACTCTGCTCACTTTTAGGCAATCTCTGAAAACCTATCTCTTCAGGGAAGCCTATCCTATCTTTAGCTAATACTGGAATCTTCTACTCTTCCAACCAGTCCATCCCCACACAGTTACTACCTTTTGTACCACTAGCCCCTCCCTCCTAGATTGTAAGCTCCAAGGAGCAGGGCCCTCCTATCCCTCTTGTATTGAACTGTATTGTTGCTGTATTGTCGCCCGTTATATTGTAAAGCGCTGAGCAAACTGTTGGTGCTATATAAATCCTGTATAACAATAATAATCTCAACAGAAATCGGCCTCGTACCTTTTTATCTCAGCTAAGCAAACTATTGCCCATGACTGGAAGGCTCAATCTGTTGCTTTCCAAGAGGTAAAGGCCCGCATGACCGCTGATAATCAATGAGCAGATGTCTAGCATATTGAAGGATTCGCATGCAAACTTTTTGATAGTCTGGGAGCCGTGGATAGGCTACTCCTTCCCATCCGACTAGTTATGGTTGACTATAATCCTAGCTCCTACAGATCCCATGTCCATGGCACTTGCCCCTTTCTGGGGTTTCTTCCTCCTTCTCCCGCTCTATCCTCTTTGCTTTCTTGCTTCTCTGTCCATTTCTTTCCTGTTACAATTTTTATTAAGGAGTGCTGTCCTCTAGGGGACGATGAGGTTTTGTTTGTGTTATCTGATTTTTTTTATATTGGGCCCTTTCTGGCCCTGGTAATGGTTCATTGTTTTAGTATTCATTTATGTACACACTCTACCATATAAGCCTGCTTGATGTCGCCCCGCATGGGCAAACCTTTGCTTGTTATAACCTTGTCATATAAACATTGAAACGGAAATTTAAACCAACATCACTGGGATTTCCAATTTAACCACAAAGTATTGCCATAACATTGTTAAACGGTGTACCTTCTCTGATGTAGGAGCATATGCCGAGAATTAAGTTATTGGGGTTCAGAATGGATTATGGCTTTGAATGACAGTTAACATTTCCAATATGGAGCTCCTTCAGATCTGCCAAAGTCCAGCATTGTTTTTAAACAATCTGTGGCTGCCCAGTAGCAGCTAGAAGATATTCAGTTTTGCTGGGTTTTTTATTTTTAAACACAAGTGGAACTATATGCACACGTGTTCCTTACAAGGATATTCTGTCAACACAACTCATTCCACAAATACTATTGTGCTCGTCTATGCACAGCTTTATATCACAGTAGGCTGTACATTTAGAATTGATTCTGAAATATATGAAACAATTACAAAGTGCTAGGTTACCTCAGGTGCGAATAAGGTGTCATATGTAGGGTTGTATTCTATTTCCTTAACATGTGGGTCAAGATGGACTCCGATATCAACAGTTTCCTGAAACAAAAAAGATGCAAGACATTTAGATATTTATTCAGTGTAGTGATACCAACATAAAATGCGTAGATCCTGTTAATGAGGGTTTCAATCAGATCTATTAAAATATATCCTTTTATAACCGCAAGCACAGTTCAAAGCTAATTTAAGTAACCATAGAGCATATGTATGTATTCTGGGTACTTTCAAACTGTGCATAATGGGCTTTCTAAACAATAACAAACAAATGTTATAATAGCAGTCTTAAGATGTTCTTCTAACTCAAACGAAAGGCTTGTTACCTTTTCCAGATGGATTGGCTAGAAACCACTGTAAAAAGGTAAAGCATATTTTCTGTTTAAATTATTGTTGTTAAGTTTTTCAAATATAAAGGTAAAATGACTGAATATTTTTTTCAGTTTCAGTGATTTTTAATACATTTGGTAGTGCATATATTCTTTTTAAATAAACATACTTTAAAAAAAAGATCCGCTTGATGCAAATACCATCAATGTTATTTTTTTTTTTCAGTTTCAGTGCGTAGCTTATAAATATGTGCATATGTAGCATCTGTAAAAAAAAATGTTTACCTTCAAAAGTCTAACTTATAGTCCCTGAGCTCAGAGGTCTTTTTTTTTTTCTTTACAACAAAATGTGATATAGTCAAATTCTTACAAAGTGGTAATTATAAACACATGTGAAATAATATATTAAATCACAATCAGTGAAACAAAAGTCCAGTAAAATAAAGTTCCAGCTCTTCCTCCATTTGTTTAATGTGTCCACAACAACTTGGAAGCTCATAGGATATATTGACCACTTAATTTTAAGTACCGGTAGGTCAAGAACACTTTTCCCCAAAGGGATAACTATGCTCAATGTGATGTACACCTCTTCTTTAAATCCAAACGGATCCTGTACCAGTTTATCACTCCGCTCTCCTTCTATTTAATCCTTCGCACAGAGTACATAATAAAAAGAAAAATATCTCCATAGTGCAATATCTTTAACACCAATATCATAGACTATATTGGTATTGTACTCACTTTTAAACTAAATGAAAGTATTTAATGAATTTACTTCTGAGTCAAACGGGCATCCTTATGGGCTCTTTCATAGACCTGGGTTCTCTCCATCAATACTTCTACATCCACACAAGGACCTCTTTACTCTACTTCAGATCAGGAGGATTCCCAATCAAAATATTTTACACACACACACACACACACACACACACACACACACACACACACACACACACACACACACACACACACACACACACATATGACCTCCTTAACCAATAAGTGAATCAAAACTACATTCCACTTAAGAGTGTTGTATCTTTAAACCAGACACCAATTGTATATGTAAAGGTCACCAAGAGTTATTGACCTCCTTTAATAATAAAGTGTGTCATAAGGACATTCAAGAGCACTGGTTGTTGGCCAATTCAGGGTATTGCTAGCAAAGTTTATTATAAGAGTTCGATCTTTGTGCTCTCTCTACTTGGATACAACAGCTCTTCTTTCAGTTGGCTGGCATGTTTTTTCTCTTGGTAGAGGTCAACCAATGGGGAAAGGACAGATGAAGAAAAGTAACGTGAATGGAGATAAGGTGGATTTTTACAGCCCTTGCAGTTGCCATCTAAGGATTCCTAGAAAGTTGTGACATGAGAAAGCGAGCAACAAGTGTACAACCACATTCAGGCACATTTACTGGGATAGCAAGAGGAAAGCCATGGGCACATTAAAGTAGACACTGAAAAAACAACAAAGCATATCCCACCTAAAATACCCTATCGTTTAAAGAAAAAAAAAAGAAAAAAAAAGGCAAAAAAAAAAGAGCAAAGATTACAAATGTTTTGAAGAAGTGTATGTTTACTACCATCCCTTGTTAAACCAGCACCATATTACCAGGGCTGTAGATAAAGTTTTTCTTCTGGGGGGGGTTTCACCTCGCAGCTGAGCTGCATTTTTACCACAGATGGAAGGGAGAAAGGGGTGGGTGGAAGGGAGAAAAGGAAGGGAGAAAGGAAGGAGGGGTGGAAGGAAGGGAGGGAGGGGTGGAAGGAAGGGAGGGAGGGGTGGAAGGAAGGAAGGGAGGGAGGGAGGAGTGGAAGGAAGGGAGGGGTGGAAGGAAGGAAGGGAGGGAGGGAGGGGTGGAAGGAAGGAAGGGAGGGAGGGAGGGGTGGAAGGAAGGAAGGGAGGGAGGGAGGGTGGAAGGAAAGAAGGCAGGGAGGGGTGGAAGGAAGGAAGGGAGGGAGGGGTGGAAGGAAGGAAGGGAGGGAGGGAGGGGTGGAAGGAAGGAAGGGAGGGAGGGGTGGAAGGAAGGAAAGGAGGGAGGGGTGGAAGGAAGGGAGGGAGGGGTGGAAGGAAGGAAGGGAGGGGGGGGGGTGGAAGGAAGGGAGGGGTGGGTGGAAGGAAGGGAGGGAGGGGGGGAAGGAAGGGAGGGAGGGGTGGGTGTAAGGAAGGGAGGGCAGGGAGGGAGGAGTGGAAGGAAGGGAGGGGTGGAAGGAAGGAAGGGAGGGGTGGAAGGAAGGAAGGGGGGTGGAAGGAAGGAAGGGAGGGAGGGGTGGAAGGAAAGAAGGCAGGGAGGGGGGGTGGAAGGAAGGAAGGGAGGGAGGGGTGGAAGGAAGGAAGGGAGGGAGGGGTGGAAGGAAGGAAGGAAGGGAGGGAGGGGGAAGGAAGGGAGGGAGGGAGGGGTGGAAGGAAGGGGGAGGAGGGGGGGTGGAAGGAAGGGAGGGAGGGAGGGGGGTGGAAGGAAGGGAGGGAGGGAGGGGTGGAAGGAAGGGAGGGAGGGAGGGGTGGAAGGAAGGAGGGGAGGGGGGGGAGGGGTGGAAGGGAAGGGAGGGAGGGGGGGGGTGGAAGGAAGGAGGGCAGGGAGGGGTGGAAGGAAGGAGGGCAGGGAGGGGTGGAAGGAAGGAGGGCAGGGAGGGGTGGAAGGAAGGAGGGCAGGGAGGGGTGGAAGGAAGGAGGGCAGGGAGGGGGGTGGGTGGAAGGAAGGAAGGAAGGCAGGGAGGGGGTGGGTGGAAGGAAGGAAGGCAGGGAGGGGTGGGTGGAAGGAAGGCAGGGAGGGGTGGGTGGAAGGAAGGAAAGCAGGGAGGGGGGGGTGGAAGGAAGGAAAGCAGGGAGGAGTGGGTGGAAGGAAGGAAAGCAGGGAGGAGTGGGAGGAAGGAAGGAAGGAAGGAAGGCAGGGAGGGGTGGGTGGAAGGAAGGAAGGCAGGGAGGGGGGTGGGTGGAAGGAAGGAAGGCAGGGAGGGGTGGGTGGAAGGGTGGAAGGGAGGGAGGGAGGAAGGGGTGGGTGGAAGGAAGGAAGGGGTGGAAGGAAGTGGGGGTGGGTGGAAGGAAGGGGTGGAAGGAAGTGGGGGTGAGTGGAAGGAAGGGAGGAAGGAAAGAAGAAAGGGGTGGGTGGATGTAAGGAAGGTTAGGTTGGACTCACCATGACTTAGTCACATGCATCCGAGCTGTCGGCTACTGTGTTCACTTTACCGCCCACGCATGCTGTGCAGCTGCATGGACTGGAGTGTGGGCGGGCACAGGGGGATGCAAAGCAGATCCAGCCTCACTCCCCTCTTCTCCTATTGGTGCAGAGGATGGAGGGAGGGGCTGGGCAGTGCAAAAAACACAGCGGTGTTGGGAGCGAGGGGGGGTCCAGAAAGAAAATTGAACCATCAGGTATGTTCTGTACAGCGGTAAGGGCGGTGATAAGAAGCATTCTCCTGTATGGCTTTCAATAAAGCAGCTGGAAACCGCAGGAGGGAGAGGAGGAGGGAGAGGAGGAGAAGCAGCTTCCAGCTGCTTTATTGAAAGCCATACAGGAGATCGCTGCTTGTCACTGTGTGCTGTCCATAGTATCATTTGCATGGGTGTTTGAGGAGCGATAAAAACTCCCTTCAAATGCCTGCTTTCAATGCCAGTGTGAACTAGGCCTTAAAATAACCTTTAAAGGAGGCACAGTCTTATTGCAATGGAATTGGATTTTTCTAATAAAAGAGGACATCCTGATGGCTGCAATAAACACTTCATACCTACCTTTGGGAACTAAGGTTATACAAATAACCCAGATATTTCCCCAGCAACATTAGAAAGGAGGAGGAAGAACAGCACAGCGCTCACAGATGCATGGATTCACTTAAAAATTTGGACTTCCCTTTACAGCCACAGAAGCTTAAACCTCAGTTTGATCTGCAGTTGTCACAGTACTGAATATGTAATCAGTTATGACACCATTCATTTGATGGCTTGACAGTTCAGCTGAGAGCATATCTTTGACACTTACTTACAGTATTTCTTTGAATGCAACTGTTTTGTGAAACAGTTAAATCAGTGGATTTAGTTCTGTCTCAACTTTATGGTACCCTACACCACTGTTCAAACTGGCAAGACAATATAGGAGGGTCCTGAGATTCTGGAAAAAGCAGGTCTTTAGCAATCCCAGTGAGCACTACCCACATCGGACCACTAAGTGCCTTCCACAATTTGGTCCTCTCAATCTGTATTGTGGGCCAGACAGACACTTTATAATCCCGGACCTTAGTTCCAGGTCCACAGCAAAAGTTATTTACATCACCACGTATAGCAAGTCCTAATAAATATTGTCCAGTTATGTTAGTCTAGGTTAACGTGGCTCTTTGTTACTTGCATTTTGACAAAATTAGCCTCTTCATTATTTTGATAACGCCTACCAAACATCTGCTTATTCACAAAAGGCTTATCAAGGAAAAGGGATGGTTTTCCAGCTATGTTGTTATATAGCTATTAACTAACAGGAACTCTCCAGAAGACAATTCAACTACTGACTTCCTGAAATAGGTCACCTGTACTACACCTAGGACTGTTCTTTGCTATTGAACTAATCCGCACGTTCCTAACCCCAGAAACCACTAAACAGCTCATCCACTCTCTCATCATATCACGACTCGACTACTGCAACTCCCTCCTCACTGGCCTGCCTCGCCACTGGCTATCCCCGCTTCAGTCGATCCTGAATACGGCTGCCGGACTCATTCACCTTTCCAACCG